CGTCTTGGGTGGGCCGCGTTGGCCTCTTCGCAACAAGAGGGGCATGGGGTCTTGGGTGGGGCCGTCTGGGGCTCCTCCAGGGCCCCTTGCGAGACCCTCCTGAGCCCCCTGGGAGCCAACTGGAAGCCCTGCTGGGCCCGCCTTGGAGGCGTTTCGGGGGGCCTTCCTTCCCCATCTCCGTGTTCCGGGGGCGCGAACACATGGATTACCGATCCGTGGACTTGGCACGCAGTCGCCAAATCCATGGATCGGGGAAGGTGCCCTCACCAAGGATGCGGCCGCTGCCGCCTCGCTCGGCGGCGGAGCTCCGCGATTTCCAGAATGGAAACGGGACCCGTCGCTAATCCACGCCCCCTTGATCCGTGTCTGCGATCGCCTGAGTGTTCCGCCCCTCCGCGCCCCTCGCCCCGCCACGCCAGAGCAGCAGCGGCTTGGCGAGGAGGACGTGGAGGCAGCAGGAGGACGTTCAGGCATCAAGAGGCGCAGAAGGAGGAGGAGAACTGACAGGAGAAGCACGGGGAGGAGGAGGAGGAGGAGGAGGAGGACGAGGAGGAGGAGGAGGAGGAGGACGAGCACCAGGGTACGAGACGGAGATGCCCCGCGGTAGCCTCTGCTCGTCGTGCAGGCCGCTCACGCTGCCCTGCACCTCCGCCCACTTCTCGCGCCTGCGCTGCTGCAGCAGCGGCCCGTGCCCCCATCAGTAGAAGGGGCCCTGGGACACACAACTAAATAGGCACAAATAACAGGGTTCCCCATATTTTCTAATATTTTCTGGATTACCATCTTCCCCCCCGAGTTCCCATAGCTTCCCATGTCTTCCTGGGAACGGGCCACACGTGGTGGGGGCGCACGGGTCAGAGCGGTGCCGAAGACGGCCGCCGGCCCCGTATGGGGAAGGAGTAACCGCGATTTGAGCGGCAAAGCGAAGGTTGTCTTTTTCCCCGATTGTTTGTGATCCCCCGATGGGTCCCAGGATGTCCACAGGAGCCCAGGGGCCCCATTGGGACCCTCAAAAGGTCGACGAGGACTGTGCCATAAGATTTCTCAAAAGACTTCTCATCGTGCGTGGCCAGTGCGTCTGGGCGGCTGCGCCGCCGCCGTGTGGATAGTGGGGCTGTGGGTGCGCAGAGCACGCGGCTTCATATTCGGTACGTCTCGCAGTGCTTTCGGAGCCGAAGCCGACGTCCTCGACAAGGCCTCGAGGAAAGCGGCGGAGCTTCTCTCTGAGTCAGTGGAGGCTGCTTGTGACGGGGGGAGGGGGGGCACAGAAAGAGAAAGAGACAGAGGGGGGAGAGCGATAGGGAGAGGGATTGAGAGACACAGCAGAAGAGAGAGAGAGAGGGACAAAGAGAGAGAGAAGGATAAAAGAGAGAGAGAGAGAGACAGAGAAAGACAGAGAGAGGCAGAGGGAGATAAAAGGGAGGGAGGATAATGGGAGGGACAGGGAAGGAGTAGTGAGCAAGGAGGGAGGAGAAGTTGTCCACGCCAAGCCGACGTCGCAGCCAACTTCCGAGAGGGGAGAAGCTCGAAGCGGGCCGCTTTGAAGACACGTTGGGGTTGCTGCATCAATGAACCACCACTGGCCAATGGCCTAAAGGCGGCAGCCAGACGGAACATACACCCTGTAAGGAAGCAGAGGGAAGCACAGGACACATGTGCAACAGCGAATGATGTCACAAGGGCTGCGGCCGCACCATTCCATGTTTGACGACCATTCTTCGTGTAATCCACTCACGCTCCTGGGCCAAACGCAGCAAGAAGCATGCATGTGAGAGAAGCGCATGCAGCGCAATCACCCTGCTCCAGCAATCTGCCGATTGGTCCTCATCATCCTCTTTACTATCCCTCCCCCTTCCACTACCATTGTTCTCGTCATCCTATTGGCCCAACGCCGATCCCAGAACATCGCGCAGAGCTTCGAGAAATATGTTCATGCTGCTTCTTGGAGCCCAATTTGCATATGATTCGCGAAAGCCCCCGTGACCGAACCCGCCCTCCCCACCCCTCCCCCATCTTGGTCACGCGTTGCGCCGGCGCCGTCTGGAAATCAGCCATCCCTGAACGTTCTCCGACGGCGCCTGCGCGAAGCGCGACGTGACCAGCCCCCTCCTTCGGGGGCGGCCAAGAGGGGGGTGTCCAAGAGGGGGGGGCGCAAATCATGGCTGGCGGCATGTGCGCAGACCAGGGACGTAAGGAAATAAGAAGAGGCGCCATGACATCTGAGGACATATCATGGCCCGCGCCATGACATCCACACACACCCTGTTCATCACCCCCCTTTTGGCCGCCCCCGACTCCCCACCCCCCCCCCCCCCCGGGGCCCGGTAACGCCTGTATTCGCTCCTCTCCTCCCTGGACCACCTCCTCCTCCAGCTCCTCCTCCCCTCTCCTCCTCCTCCCCTCCTCCTCTTCCTCCTCCCCCTCCCCCTCCTCCCCCTCCTCCTCTTCCTCCTCCTCCTCCTCCTCCTCCTCCTCCTCTGGACCACTCGCCTGTGCTGCGTCCCGGGTCGTGGCTCGACGGCCCCAATGGCCTGCTGCCGGCCCCCGGAGGCCCAGCGCGCTCCGCAGAGGCCGCTCCCTTTTTGCTCAGGAGCCGCGGATCTCAGGGGCCTCCTCCTCCTCCTCCGCCTCCTCCTCCTCCTCCTCCTCCTCCTCCTCCTCCCCTCCTCCTCCTCCTCCTCCTTCCTCCTCCTCCTCCTCCTCCTCCTCCTCCTCCTCCTCCTCCTCCTCCTCCTCCTCCTCCTCCTCCTCCTCCTCCTCCTCCTCCTCCTCCTCTTTCTCCTTCAGTCCTCCACCCCCTCCTGGCCCCAAGGAGGCCAGCGCGCCGCCCGCCGGCACGCGGGTGCGCACAAGAGGCCCCCTGGGCAGGAGCGACCTTTGGTGCGCGGCTTCGAGGGGGCGCGCGAGGGGGCCCAAGGCCCAGCGCACAGGCCGCTGCTGTCTCGCACCTCACTCGGCGATCGGGGAGACGCCTCCTCCTCCTCCTCCTCCTCCTCCCTCCTCCTCCTCCTCCTCCCCTCCTCCTCCTCCTCTCCTCCTCCTCCTCCTCTTCCTCCTCCTCCTCCTCCTCCTCCTCTCCTCCTCCTCCTCCTCCTCCTCCTCCTCCTCCTCCTCCTCCTCCTCCTCCTCCGCCTCCCCTGCAGAGGCGCGCCCGCGCCGCCGCCCATGCGACCTCGGCGCACGGCCCCGCCCGGGCCCCCCCGGCGAAGGCTAACTCACTCTCGCACGCGCAGTGAAGGGGCTCGGGGGCGTCTGGGAGGGGGGGCGTCCAGGAGGGGGCTCGCAGATCACGGCCCGAGGCATGTTCGGGCCAGACGAAAGCAGGGGATTGGGAAAGGCGGGGGGTACGAAATTTGCTGCATGCTGCTGTTTTCGGCCCCACCGAGGGGCCCATTCCTCGATACATAGCCGCCTCCGGCGCTGGGAGGCGCCCGGAAAATCAGCTATGTGAGCTGATTCTCAAACCCCCCCTTTGCTGCCCCCGCCTTTCGCCCGACCCGATATGTGCACGGCCCAGAGGGGGGCCCGGGGACGTCGCACAAAAAGAAGGGGGGGCGCCATGAAATATGGGGGAGATATCGGGGCCCCGGCCATGAGATCCACCCCCGCTAGTGTTAGCCATAAGGGAAGCCCTGACTCTTTGGGAGGGGACCTCACTTCGGAGGGCCAAATACATTAGGACTGAGAGGGCCTTTGCTGCAGATGCACGAAACCAAACCACCCAGAACTGGTACCCCGAATGCAAAGTCGGGGACCTAAGTGGGGCCACGTCTTCACTGTGTTATGAAGGTTAGGGGCTCTTTTGATGGGACGCACAGACACATACTAGTATTAGGTCGGGGATGTCTCCCTACAGGCGGATTTTGGGCGATTTTTTAATAGCCCAACAATACACAACACATCGAACAATGTTAGAAACCTTGCCCTTATTGTTTGTTTTCATTTGAATATTCCTCCTGTAGAGGGGCGTGCCCGACTTAATACTAGTACTATACATCCTCCTTGAAGGCGCGCGTCCGCCCCGAACATGTCGTACACCCATCCTTTGTAGTAGATCGTTCCCCGAAAGGTGTTGCCAGCAAGCGCCCGCCGCGACAGAGTTGTGGGCGTGTTGTTATTCGGCGTTTCGACATTGGGCGGAGGGTGGGGGAGGGTCTGGCTCAGGACCTCTGCTTAGAACGACTGTTTGCAGCACTTGGTCCTACGAGGGGAGGCTCCACCTGCTCGAAGTAGGCGCCAGAAACAGCCAAGATCCACTCCAGGGGGGGGGGGGTCCCAGGGCCCGCGCCGATCGGCAAAACAATGAATAACAAAAACAAACATCATGCCATACGATTTCTCGGTGCGCGCGTCGCCCCTGGGGGGGGGAGGACAACGCACACCTGGAATTGGTATGGGGGGGGTGACGTCGATGTTGTCCTCGATAAGCCTCGGCACTCGACGACGAGCGGGGGCCACGAGCAACCGTGACCCTGGGTAAGCGTGACCTTTGGTGCGCGGCTGGTTGGGGCCCGCGGGGGGACCAGCACACGAGCGCGCAGGACGCTGCTGCCGCACCGTGTTCGGCGATCGCGGGACCCCCGTGGGCGCGCACAAAAAGGCCACTCCAGCGAAACGGGGGCCCAAAGAATATACACCACCACCACCACGTCGGCTCCTCCTCTCCCCTCTCTCCAGCGAGAGGGAGGTGGGCATGGAGGTGGTGGTGGTGGTGTAGATTTTTGGCCCCCCCCACGAGAGGCCACTCTTGCCCTGAGCTACGACGCCGTGAGCTCCTCGCAGCGTCGGCCCCCTGAGGTCTGGAGACCTTCCCCAGGACCGGTCCGGCATCCTGCAACGTCTTCTGACGCTCCTACAGTGAAGGCTCGGCCACAAGAAACCTTCCGCAAGAAACCCAACCCTGAGACCCCAGGACGTCCATCGATTTTTGGCGTGGGAACGTCACGCTTTCCATAGGAAAACCATCGAAACCCAAGAAACCCAGGGTACCCTGGATGCAA